AATTCTATGATTTGTTACTTAGAGTTTGATAAACAACAATATATGTGAATCTTTCTGGAAATTATTTTCAGATAGAAAACATTGTTCTTTCTAAAATTTAAGACTTAACCAGCTTATATATGTGGTAAAGTTTCTCAATATTGCAAGATCTTAACTTGCAAGACTAACGGTTTTGTCTGCCTTTCCTTGTCTGTAAATCTCACTAGCTAGATTATCTCCCAGAATTTCCTTCAAATTTTAAGAAATTCTCCTTAAAAGTGAATATATGTATGGAAGAATTCCTTGTTACTTTTCATGTTATTTGGCCCAGTGGCTACAGCACTCACACAGCGCAGGGATCATGTACCAAAGGATGCTGGGTTCAAGACCCAGGCTCTGCATTTTCTTTTTATGGGGGTTGGCCTCATCGATCTCCAAAGGTATCTTCCAACCTCTGTAATTCTGTGTTTTATATAATTTTGCTGTAAAGGAGGGTCCACCTCCTTTACTTTCCATGTTTAGTGACTTGCTCATTAGAACTCCCTTTTCCGTTAGTGGTTGGGAAATCATGTTATTTCATGAATAATAAATAAATAAACATGTAAAAATATTGTTTAATATCAATACTATGATATTGTACATTACTGATCATGTTTTAATTCCAAAAGTGGTGGTGTTACTTTTAGGCCCAACTCTACTTCTGCTAATACCCAAACCCAGCTAAGAAAATATTTCTAGAAACATATAAAATCTCATTTACAGTTTTGGGATAACATACATATTATGAATAATATGGGAAAAGCAGCACTATATGTATAGATAGATACATAACTGATTAAAGAGTATGTGCCCTAAGCATATGTATGGATGCACTTTCACATTCTGGATAAATGAGAAGCTAAGTTTATGGTATTGTTAGCATTACTTCTGTGCCCTATTTCAGACCAAGTAAATTACCACAAATTGCATTTAGATGACATTTCAACCTAGTTGCAGTCAGGTCCACTGAAAAGTACAGAATATGATACCAACATGATTTCCATGGCATGATACATCACACTGAAGCCTATCAGTTCTATTTTATTTTTTTTTTTAAGATGAAGACTACACTTTTCTTTTATAGAACCATTATTACATAACCTAACACTGTACACAGAAATGGGAAACTTAACCTTAGAAAAATTGTCTATTTTCTTTGCTTCATGCTTTAAAACAGTAATAAATGAGCAGTTAAAAGGGATCAGTAGGTATCCGTAGAACTGATTAGCTATTTTTACCAGGGTTACCAGTAGTTTAGACATCAAATAAGGGATTTTTAATCAATGAATCAAAAATGTGACATCGGCTGTGCAGGTTTGCAGTCTTGGGGCCTGATTCGGATTCACTCTGACACCATCATGAGAAGTAATTTACATAAATTAAAAGCATACATTGAAATGGTGGAGCGTCAGAATGAAGCACTTTGTGCTCCAATCTGTTTCACTCAGTATTTCAGGTCTGACTTTAGAGACTAGCTCACTTACAGGGCTCTGCATTAGACATAATGCCTTCTTGTTTTAAAATATGTATGTTTAATATTTAATTTAACAGAATTCCACATACTAGTGCCTGTGCTCTTTGGAAATCCCTTTGAGGCCCGTGGTTTTTATGTGCAGTTGCAATACTCCTCAAGCATAATTTGGTAGCACCATTGCCTAACGGAGTAAAAGGAAGTATCTGTCTACAATTAATCTTTTCTGTTTTTGAAGTGAGCGACAAAAATATCGCCAAGCCAGTTGCAATTTGCAGAAGCCAGTCTCACCAATACTTATTTAATTTAGTATGTGTGATAGCATAATGCTAGTAGAGGTACAGGTTTCATCAATCGTCCACACACTTCAAGTATGTGCAGTTAACTTAGATCACCATCTTTAAACAATGATACTCAAATGTTTTGCCAAGTCTGTGGTACTGTTTATAACGCTACACGTACAGATTATATATAAGTAGCAGAAATTGAGCTTGTGTTTATATTTTCAAATGAAATAATAAATTATTTTTCATTATAATATGCTGTACAGTATTGCCTAATATCTGCCAAGATGACAGACTCATTCATAATGTGCACAGAAAACAACTGCACAGTCTTTTTCAAATGCTTACAGATTTTGAACGTATGATCTGCTGGGACAATCTATACAAAGTCTGAAGTTATCTACAGGCAACAATGGCAGAATGAAAACAGCAGTTTGAATGACACCTGGGTGGCCATCACAGTTAGCTTGCAGGGGAGACTATTTTCAAGATCATTTGGCACATCCAGAGTGTGGGATAGCTCTCTGAAGTAAAGCGTTTAAACATTAAAAGGTCAGAAGCAGAACAGCTAAGTTACCCATTCACACTGGCAATGGGAATCTTTGCCATTTGGCTCTGAACCACTTTGCCATTCTGCATCCTAATGACAATTACATGTCCCACACTGATATTTCACTTTCAATTTTCATAGAATTAGTGAAAGCATTTAAGGAGTTAATGGAGGCATAGTACTTTCTTTAGAGAAAATATGAAATTAGATTAGAAATTAGATTGCCTTGAAAACATTACATGCAGGAAAATGTGCACTCAGAAAGCCTTCAGGAGCAATCATCTGAGCATGGTTTCTTGTGACTAGCATTTCACTGTTCCAATACAAAGGAAAAAAATAATCACATAGATCTGTGGCGAGATTCTGTTGTCTACAAGAGGCACAGATCAAAACTTCATAATCCAGGAGAACTTAAACTGTTCCAAACCATTCTCCATCCTCACCACCTTAAACTAATGAAACGAGCTGTAAAATCAGCTGAAACAAACAAAAGGCATTAGTGGCTGTGTGGCATTCAGCAGATATGCAACGGCCTTCCCCTAACATGCTATCGTGATTCAGTCCCACACCCTGCAGGAGGACTTCAGAGTTTGTCCTCAGAAGGCATCTTTACGTTTCCTTCCACCATGTGCTACCAGGGGTATCGTCCCTTCGCCAGGAATAGAGCTTTTAAGGGCCTCGTTATGCCAATCTGATTCCTCTTATCTTATGTAAGGGGCCAGCGTGGTGATGGAGCTCTCTTTTTCAGCTCTAAATCTATCCTATATGGCACGCAATTCTCTAAAGTACAGCCAGCTTCTGCTTTGATGAAGTACTGTGCAGCGAAGACTGAAGGATGCTGTTTTTCACCATTTAAAGATGTATGATAGCAACAAAGCTCTATGTTAAAATATTTAACTCACAGAGAACTTATGGAAATTGTCTATTCAAGCTCAGCAAAGACATTAAATTACCAAGCTGTTCTAGGACAGTTGTGTGTGGAGAAAAGCCAGAAATGCTCTGAGATTGTAATGTTACTTACAAAGATTACAGCACAAGCCTGATTCAGAAGCTTTTTATACATATCAGCATGGTGAGCTGCAAAATGTTACCATATCAATTTCTGCAAAACATACTGTGTGTGTACATATAGATATAAAATCTGGACTTGTACACAGCACATTTCCTGCCACATTTTGAACAGCATCTGTTTGTTTAGTTTGCTGAAATATGAAAAATAATGTTTAGCAACTACTGGCAACACAATGTTAACATGATTTAAGAGTTTAGCTCAGTCTGTCAAAATGCAGATAAAAGACAAATCCTTCTATCTCAGTGTTTTAATCAGTCAGATCAGGGTTCTGATGAATATGCAAATGTGACTGTTTATATACTATTTTCAGAGTGAAAGGAAACAAATTTGGTTTCATTATAGAATTAATGATAGCTCTGTCCCCTAAGATTAATGAGTAAAACCCTACACACATTAAAATGATAGCGCTCCTTCCTCCCACCCTCTGAAGACTTTTTTTTTTTTTTTTTAATTAAAAAAAAAAATTCCTCGTGCCTTTATAATTGTTTGTCCCCCTAATTGGAATGATTAATCATTAATGTCAGTTCAGAGATATGTAAAAGTCCTCTTTAGAGCAAAAACTGTGCTTAACAGACAAAAGGGTTAAGAACAAAATTTTTCTGTTAATTTTGGTTTTGCTCTTCTCTGTAGGTTGAACAATGAGTTTCATGGCATGGAAGGAACTCAGTGGCCTGACCTAATGGTGGAAACCAGTTCTTTATTCCAGAGCAGGTTATTCATATTATTTTCTTCTCATTTTCACAATATATTCTGGGATTCTTTTTAAAGCCTGAGCTGCCAGAATCAGCAGCCTTCATAAAAACTGCAGCTTTCATTTTCTGACACACACATACACTACAAGTTTGGACCAAATCAAGTCTCAGAGAAGAGATTTAGACTATAGAACACGTGCACTATCATGTCTGAGAAAACAAAAGGGAAAAAGTATCAGCAATTTCTTTTCTTAATCTGATGATTTCTGAATTGATGTGGCAGTGGCTGAGTCATGATTTCCAAATCTTCAGGACAAGAAACATTTCAGAGAAAGGTTGCAGCAAATTATATTCAGCCTTAACATTAAACCTCCTTCCTCCACCAGAACTGTCATATTTCATTTTTGTATGGCCACTAGGGTCTATATATTGAGAGAACTAAACCCCTTTTTAGTTAAATTTACCAAAGCAGACAATCTTAAGACTAAATAAAATAAGTTGCTTTTAAAATGCTTTGCATTACTTTACTAGGAAAAGCTGTATTCTCGTTCCAAAGATTCTTATTTCTTTCTGAATAGGAAAGCTTTTTCCATAAAATCAAATAGATAGAAAACTCTAAAAATCACATTTCTTCAATAAAGCTGCTTCAGTTACTTCCTTTAGTGGTCAGTTGGTCCTACGTGGGAATTTTAGCATTGCCTTGCATGGAAAGGAAATACTTTACATGAAATTAAATTAGCATTTGTCTATATTTCACTATGTGGGTAAAGCTACTCTGTGTGTCACTGACAAGAGTAAAACAAATATGTGTGCATGTCTACCTTAGCAGGGATGACGAATTATTCTCTGTAAGCATTTAAGGGTAAGCATCCATAATGAAGCCTGCTAGTTGGTAAAAATGCCTATCACTTACCACGCTGAGTCCTAGCAGTTCTCTGCAAAAGAAGTCCATGTTCCGCCTCTGTAGGTTGTCAAGATAGTGCTGAAGGCGAGTATAGGTGTAAGGGTAGCAGTAGGCAAACTGATAAGTGTCGTTCTCACGGTCAAAGCAAAAAGCAAATGACATGACATAGTTCTTCCTGTGATCCGGGCAGCGATAGTAATACACATTTTTGGAGGGTATTCTTTGCCTAAAAAATAAAAGCAACATATATAAATCAACATATATATGTTCAAAAGAAATCTGAAGTGAAATGCTTTCTGAGATCCCTATTTCCTCTCATGTAAATGAAGTAAAATAATTTTAGACAGTGTAGATCCCAGAGCCTGCATTTCAGAGCACTCATGCACACAAATTCCATGCTTGGGCTGTGCCAGCCATGGCTGCTGTGCCAGGTCTGAGCTTGTAGGGCTAGTATAGCAGGAGAGAGTTACACACAATCAGACAAACCAACTCCCAGGAAGTGCTGAAGATGCACGGGCAGCTGAGTTGTGTGCTCCTTTGCTATCAAGCTTGTGCAAGCTCATAGTGCTACAGAGTTTCCAGCGAAATCTCTGGCTGGAACATGGCTAAACCCTATGATACACGACTGGTTCATCCATGCACAGGCAAGGCATAATTGGTGAAGGATGTTCAGTACGAGTATATATACAGTACATAGTATAATATATGCCAATATACATATACACACAAAGGAGCTATCCCTCTTAGTAGTCAGGGGATGTATCAGCACCTAGCCAATGAATTGAAGAAGAGATAAATTCTTAAGGAAAAACAAAAACAGGAAAGAAAAAAAAAAACAACAAACAACTTTGGATTGGGAAAATAATCTGGTCCTAAATTAGAAAGTGAAGGAGAAAAGGATGTTTGGTCCTGTTCCAAATTGGATTGCTGCCCTCCGTGAGAGTTCTGGCTTATAGTGCTGACATGATAAAAATTAATATACATGATGGTAAATAATTACAGTGCAGATATTTATTTATGTCATTGCTATTAAGCTGGTATCTGTTTAAAGAATAAAAATGTCTGCCTGACATCTTTCACCCAACTTCAGTTATTCTTTAATTTCTCAAAGGAAGTGAGTAATGTTTCAGAGGTGCATCAAACTCATTCTATGAAGCAGAAGTGCTCAATATTTCTATTTGTGTCCCTTCTTCATTACACAGATGGATTTTCCACCTTTATTTAGGCAGGAGATTCTCCAGTCATGCAATGTACTTGTAATTTGATGTAACTAACTTACCAATCCTGTTTGGCAACAAAACACTACAGTCCTGCAGACTCTAACTGAATCAATTATATAATATTATAAACGGGTCTCAAATAATGATTGGAACACATCTCAGCTAAACTAGGATCACGGTGAGGGAAAATGTAATAAGATTTAGAGACAGCAGTAGCAATGTGTCTCTTTTTAATAGTTCCGAGAAACTGGTCTACTGCAGAGCATCAGTTATGGCCTTTCACTGCTAATATGGAATGGAGGACAAAAGCCTTTCATTATGCAGAAGTACGCTTGTCAATGAGCAGCAGTTAAGGAATCTGATCAGCAAGACTCAGGGGCTACAAAGAGAAACAGAAAGGAGTTGAGATGTTCTTGAAAAAGTACAATAAAGAGCCAGTGAAGCAGTCAATTAGACTTGAAATAAGAATTTATTTGCTGCTTCTATTACTCTGGTTCTTGAATTTTCTGTGCTTCAAGAATTTTCTTCAGCGTTTTTTGTTTTAAATAAGATATTTGTTTATCATTAACATCTGAAAATGATTTTTAAGCCACAAATGCAAGAGATAGGAAACAAAAAACAAAACTATTCAATTTTTCTTAAGTAGTAGTAGGGAAAAAATGCCACCAGCTGTGTGCATGCAGTGCCCTCACCTAATAGGTTTCTCCAGTATCTTAACATATTTCTATCATTCACCCTTACTCCGGAGTGCTATAGGACATCCCTCATTTGATCTCAAATCAAGCAGATGATATGGCACTGGGTAAATGTATTCTAACTCCCAGTCCTCAAAACGTAATGCAAGTTTGAATAGTATGTTGCTGAGTTGTTGAACTTTATTTGTTTCAAAATTAGCATGGGAGAAATAATAATGGACAAGCCTCTCTTTATGATATAAAAAAAATCATGTAAAATGAGACCAATAGGAGGAAAGTCAAGATTTTAGAAAGGCTAATACTAATTGAAATTCATCTGCTGATAGTTAATGCTTAAATGACACGTAGTTCTCCTTGGTTCAATAACTTTCTACTTTTAAGCAAGTTGAAGACAACTTTGTTAATGTATTAAAGGCACTTTTGATATTTTGTTCCTTCGCTCCTTCATTATAGAAGCCAAGCATCTGTTTTATTATCCACTTTGACACATCACTTTATGGCTGCATTTGGCTATTATGGCTAATCTTGATGTCTAGGACATCTGGTATTGACATTTCTCTATCTGGTGTCTGACACAACAGCAGAAAGCATGCTCAGTTCCGAGGTTTAAATTCACCCTCTCAGGGCAGGAAGTGCCCAAACTCTTAATTCAAGCCATATCTTCAAAAAATAATTATAATGGTACTCCTGTCACTGCTAATCTATTTTTATCTCTCCTAGCACTTTGTCACTGCTAATCTATTTGTGAGTCATATAGAAAAAGAGAGTTAGTGTTTAGATACCAACAGCACATCTTTACACACGGTAGCCTAATCAGATTGAGATCTTATCACAGAATTAAAGGGGAAAATAAAGGGGGGGGGAGGGGGGAGGGGAAGAGGGAGGGGAGGGAAGAGAAAAAGAAAGAAAAGAGACATACTGAGATCAACTGAGTTTTTGATAACGAAAAGACATTGCTCAGTTCTTGAATTAACCTTTGTGTCCTAGACGCACTATTGTTTACTCTTTCCCTTTTTTGTTCTATGCCTTCTGGAAAAGGACACCCACACACTGTGGCAGCAGCTGCTCCTATTAATTTAAAGCTATTACAAAAATTAAAATTAAACCCAATTACTTTGGCTGGTTTATAGCCGGAGAACGGCTTAGTCTGATTGTTCCCTCTGGTTATGGACAAAAACAATATTCCTACCTAAAGGCAGCTGCCAGTGGAATACTAATGCATGTGGGCCTGGCAGGGACAGATCCAGACTGTGGAGTGCAACTGCATTTCTTACCAGAGGAAAATATCTTATCATGGATCTGCAGAAATGCACCAACTTCTTACACTGTGAGTCACAACGAAGTTGATTTGTAGTTAGAGGTAAGAAAGCAAAACGATAGAGGAAAGCTTAATACTCAGATTTGTCATTTTGCATTTCCAGGCAGCTCGCATGAAGAAATGCACCCTGCTAATTGATACACAACTGCCTGAATTTTCTCTCTTCTGAGCAGTTATTTAAAGGAGAACCACCCCAATTCCAAGTGCAGCCACAGAGCACAACATGCAAGCAAGTCATTTCCAGTCTGTCTTCAGAAATACATTCGCAGAAATAAAGCTTAGTATTATACATCATTTTGAAATAAATTCAGACTCCTTGGGTCTTGTCTGACAAGGAAGCTGTCCCAACCCAGCAGATGTGACTCTAAGTGTGCAAATACACGTGCCTGTCTCTTCCCATACACTTTCTTCATTGCTGTCTGGAGTCAGAACATAAATCCCACGTTGGCAGAGTGCAGTAAAATCAAATCTGTTAGTTTATCAGCAAACTGAGGTCCTTGGTCAGAGTCAACTCCCTGGGTAACATCAGAGGCCCCAGGATTGCACCCTTTGCTACAACAGTAGGCAGTAATGATACTTACTGCATAACTTAGTATCCTAACAATACTTCTATTCTGATTATCACTTAATCCTATTTCTAGTTTATCTAGAGCTTTGAGTTTAAAGCTAAATTTTATGTGTTTTTTTTTACAGTTGTTTTTTCCTTTTGAAAAGAGCTAATCAAGTTGTCGCAGAACAAACGTGGGGGGAAATGCAATGTCCATTCTTTTTTAGGTTTTAAACACAGGGATGTTAATCAAAGACAAAAGGGTCTTTTCTTTTGAGGGTCATTTTCCCTATGTTGCATGCCTAAAGAAGAGTGTTCTTGCCCAGCAAAATTTCCAATGACTTTAATGTGCAGATTAAATAGTCTTTGGACTGCTCTTAATATGGCACTCAAGAAGTATTTATTCAGTTCCTTGACTGTACAAGACTGGGTTAGACGTATCCCAGTCAGTAGGCTTTCAAGTAAAATGATGACCTTGGAAGGAAAGTCAAAAATCTGCAGGTTCTGTAAAAGATCAATGGTCAAAAGACAATGTCAGTGTTTGGACTTGGAAGGAAATGCTCAAGTGAATCTGATTGCAATGCTGTGTTAGCTGTGGTGATATAATGTGAGATCATTTTCAATTGCCAACAACTTCCAGATGCAGGGATACAACTTAATAATTCTACAAATTTCCAGGCTTCCTTATATCACTCATAGGAGTGGGACTGAATCATTGCCTCAAAGGAAATTATGCCTAGTTTTTAAAGAGATTCAAAACACAAAACCTGATTCTGATTGTGAAAATAACTTCAAGGTATTAACCTTATGATAACCTTATTGACTCCATCCAAAATACCAGACAAAGTATTTGGAGCTAAATGTCCCTTTTATTAACTGCAAGAAATCCAACCAACTCTGGAGAAAATATAAAGAAGTCAAAAACGTACTGAAAACTCTTCTGGGAGGCAGCCCTTTTAAACTGAAAGCCTTAACAAGTCCTTTATCTGCTGGTGTAAGCCATTACCTTCCTTCTTGCTTATTCTTGTTGACAAATGGAGCCAACTATTTTCAGAATTTCTGGTGAACTCATGACAAAATAAGTTTACAGATTTTTTTTTTTCTTTCACAGAATTTTGTATTTGATTCACAGAACTTCGAGTGACTAAATATGTCTGGTGATGTTAAATATTTTTTTTTGCATAAAACTGAATGGATTTTGGCACAGCTCAGTTTCAAACATTGGAAATTATGTTCTGCTTTTATTCTTGCTAATGTTTATCAGAATATTCTCAGACTATTTTTATCCCCTTGCATCACCTACTCAAGCTTTTTCACCTATGCAGATATCTAATTTCTTCTTTCTAGGTATAAAAACTGAAGCACTGTGTAAATCAATAGCTTTCATAAAAACCAGGATATCCAGACATTAAGCATATGGCATTCAAGGGGTTAATGTTAACTGAA